GTATAGGCAGTGGTATTGAAAGCTTTCCCTCACACCTCTGCCTCGACTGTTGGGTAGCTGCTTAGTATTCTTGGGTTTTCTGGTCTTCTAAGGGGAGGTGAGGGAAAAGATGCTTATGCTAGTGATTTTCATAGCTGGTTTTAAAAGAGAAGTAGCCTGAGTTGGGTCATCAGAGAAATCTGGAGGGCAGAAAGTATACTGACAGAAGAGGCTGCTGCTGTTTGCACCTGTCCTCCTCATACACATGAAGCAGCTCATGGAACAGATAGTTCTCACTTTGAATAAAAAGCAGTTTTTAATTTTCCTTGTGTGTTTTCGATGAGCAGAGCTAGTAGAATTCTGAATAATGGTGGGGAAACTCTTGATGAAGTTGACCAACAAAATGCCTTTTTGTACTGCTTTTAACTTGCAACATTATTAGCCTTTCTTCATAGACAGGCTTTGCCAAGTTTATACAGATCAAGGAGGCTTACCAAGCTCAATCTGAAAAATACAGTATTTTAAAATATGAGGGTAAATGGTAGAATTGAGTATCGTAAGGTTTTCACTCAATGCCTCAACTAGCAAAACTGTTATGAGGTAGGTAAAATACCAGAATTCAGGGTGGGGGCAACACATTCAGAGCAAGAGATGTTGGTAATTAGTTTCATAAGTGGAGATAAATATGGTACAGTAGAGCAGATGCAGCTGGAAAATGGCAACAGAGCGTGCTCAAAAAAACTGACGGCAAAAGGCTAAAGATGTAAGTACTGGCTGCCGCAGTTTCTGTTGTTGTCGAGCACATTAATATTCCAACCCAGTGAGAATTAGAATCGGTGGACCAATTTCTAATTTCATGCTCATATTCATGCAAACCTCATGAACCTCAGAAGAATTGTACACACATGACAGCAATAAATTAATTAAAACCTGGAGTTTGAACTGGAAATACTGTATTATAGAATGATTAATGGCTTAATTTTTAATTTTGTGTTCATAAATAACTACAAGTTTCATGAAATGGCTGTAATGTGCTTAGTGCATGTTGTGCATCTGTTTTTTTAGCCTGATTTCTTAATGAAATGAGGCTGATGCAATCACTCTGCCTCTGTCATTCTCCCTTCCAATGGCTTTTGAACTTGGTGGCACATTTCAGCAACATTTAACAGAGAGGAAGAAGTCTCGAAGCACTTTAATCATTAGGTCTTTCATGAATGTAGAAAGCTGGGTAAAGGAGAAAGGTTGTATTCCTCCTCCTACTGAGAGGCACATAGTATCTTCTAGATACCAGAGATTCCATGTGTACGTGGAGCCTCAAGATGCAACTTTGTACCCAAGAAAGCTGTGTGACATCTGCCTCCTTGCCCTTTACTTGAGAGGTATATGAATAAGGGAGGGAGCCCAGAGGGCTGCAAAGCATTTAAGAACTTTCTCATCAGAGAAGATAAAGGTCAATACTATGGGGAGCGGTCTCTGACTTTCATAAAGTCAAACGACCCTGCAAGATAAGGCACTAAAAGGCAATGGAAGTGTGCCGTTTGGTTTGAACTGGGTTTTACACTAGTGCTGTCCTGCAGCATGGCTGCGAAAAGCAGGCACTTGGCGAGGATGTGAAAGCAGGGAGAGTACCAGTACTAGAACTACTGCCTGCAGTTCTCAGTGCAGCTGCACAGGAGGAAATGGGGGTTTTGTGGTGAAAGGCCAATGCTGTGAAGTTATGAGGTGCTTTAGGAAAAGAAGGGAGAAAAAGAGAGATTTTACCAGCAGGTCTATGAATATGCACCTGATATGGGTATACTTTAAAAAAGAAGAAATTAATAGTGCTGAGACTTACTGTCTTAATCTAGGGCAGGTGTTTGCTTCCTAGATACTTCACTTCGCTGATCTTCACTTCTGCATCTGACACATATGTGTTGCTTCTCCTCGTTCCAGCAAATACTGATTTCCCCAGCCTCTCCCCAGCCTGACCGTGGGATTCAACAAAACAGCAGCTGACCACCCTTTGCCTGTTGGTCTGTCCCTGAATTGCCTGGCTGTCCTACATGGGCAGAAATGCAGAAAAGAATTCCTGGGTTAAGATTAACTTCTAATTATCTTAAAAGTCAAATACAATTAAGTGAGGGATTGGCAAAAGTGACGCTGGCAGGTTCTGTATCCAGCATTGAAGCTAGAAGGATCAGACAACAAGACTAACCCATTTTTTAGTTGATCCCTGTCCACTTTAAGAGGAAGTGTAAGTAAACCAGATGTGCTTTATGGAGCAATTGAGCAAATGCTGTCCTTGAAAGGTGCCAGAGGGGAACCAGCTATGCTTTGGGTGCTGTTCTCTTGACCCTGTAGCAAAACTGGTAAGCCTTGCAGTCCCCAGATGCACAGGGGTGCGGTGAGCCCAGGTGAGGTGCACGAGGCGGCTGTGCCGTGTTGCCAGCCAGAGCCATGCAGCTCTGGAGTCCCGCCAGAGCAAGACCGGTACCCAGCGTGTGGGGCAGGGCATGGGCGCACGAGTGATAAATCCTGTTTTCCACGTGTAACGAAGCCAGAGAAGCAACATGCCGCAATGTCTCCAGCTTCCTGTCTGGTAAAAAGGGATGTGTCCTTTTGGGTCCGCAATACAGCAACATCCTTAATGTAAGGGACAAATACCAGAGTGCTCCAGACATTGTTCAAAGCAAAGAGGCCGTGGAAGTGGAGCCAAACCACTTTATTTGAGGATAATACTTGACATTTCTATTCTTCCTCGTGCTGTTTGTATGTGCTTTGGGCCCTTGTCCGGAAGGGGCCAAGCTGTGCATTGAAAGGCAGTAAGTACTGGTCTAATGACTGATAGACACAGTCATCAGCAAAGCTGCTTGTACATGGCTGTACAGAAGCCAAGTAGGGATTCAAAAAATAGTTGGGGGTGTGGGGGCAGGGAAGGAGATTGTTCTTTTCTGGTTTGTTTGAACTGGTTTTTGAGAGAAACCAGATGAAGAGAATGAGACTGATCTTGGAAGTGAAGAACTTGGTGTTTAATGTTTGGCAGTACTTAATACAATGACCTGAAGAACGTGCCAGTGGAAAAGATAAATGAGCCCATTGCTGTGTTAGGGAGTCAAACACCGAATACCATGGCTACCTCCCATACGGTACATGTGAATGCTGGTGGGGTGTTTTGGCTGTATGACTATACCCTGCAACCCTTTGGGGAGGGGAGAGGAAGGAGGGCTCCACTTGTTTCCTTTTAAACACAAGTCTCTGCTTCCCAACAGCTGTTCTTAAAGTAATTTATTAGTGGAAGAATGTTTCTTCCATTCTTACAGGAAAACACTGGGAGAATTTAGGTTATTTATCATAAGCTTCGATATCGGCTTATTCAACTTGCTTTGCTTTGCTTTCTGTGGTAGGCACAATAGTGGCTCTATTGAAACAGACTTTTTTTTTCCCTCTGTAACGTGCTTCTGAAGTGGGTAGATTACTAATGATGCAAATAGATTTTAATTGTGCAAAAGCTAGACAGCCTGTGCCTAGAAAGGCAGTACCTGGTTTGTAGAAGAGATGGTAGAAAACAAGGTTTCACAAGTAAAATTACTGTTGAGTTTTATAAATAGCACCATACTGTAAGCATGTGGCAAATGAAAATGGTTTGGTTCCTCACAGCTGGCAGGTACTTTATTTTTGGGCATTCGGAACTTCTGCATCACCTTTGGATGCTTGACTTGTCAAAAGTGTTTGTTACCATCTACTGGTTGGTGTGGTCATTTGCAACACTTGTAAAAGCTGAGCATAAATACTGTCAGCAAGGTTTGACTGTGGCAGAAAATCAGGGTCATGCTTTTATTTTTTGGGTGAGACATTGAGGCTGTGGTTTGACAGCCTGGTTGGCCTAGTTGTAGGGCTTCTAGTATCCAACGGGTCAAAAAGACCAGTGCTAGATAACGCCGGGTTTGGAATAAACTCAATCTGGTGGCTTGGTAAATACATTTTACTGGGTTAACTTTGTGCTGGCAGGATTCGTATTGGATCAGACTTGTCTGTCTAAGCTACTAAGCTGCTTTCTGCTGGTTTAGGCATCGCCTGTCTTTCTGCACCTGGTATAAATATGGCACATGCTCAGAGTTAAGTGCTCTGGCTAATTCGGTGGAATCAAGATTCTGCACCAAAGCCCTTTCCGGGTCAAGTTTGTACTGCTACATAGCCTAAGGTTTTTCTATTATTTTACTTTTTTCCCCCCCACACTAACTGGTATATTTGATCATGGAACAGTGGCTTGACAAAGTGAGAAGTTACTAAACTTGTTCCAGCATGGAGTTTGGATGTGGGAATACCTAATTTCCATTTCCATGCCTTAGTGTTTGCCAGACTGATGCTCTGTGTGACCAGCCCTGCTCTTTTCATCCCAAAATTTGCTGCAGGATGAAGAGCCTGCTCCCCAGATGGACTGCTGTACTCTTCTAGTCAAAGCAAACGCGTAACAAAGTCTCTGTAGCCCCCGGCAGCCGTCGCTCGGTGCCTGTTCGGGAGAAGTGTGTACAGAGCGGTGGCTTTGAAGGCAGGCCAGGAAGGCAGTGGTTTGTTTACGCAGCTCCAGAGGCACGGCATGCCATTTATTGGGTGCAGGGGGCTGAGGCTGCTGTTGCAGTTCAGGGACAGCAACCCCTGAAGGTACAAGCAGTCATGGTGCAGCTTGTTTACCGATCGGGGCTCAACTGCTTCACTGCGAGTGCAGGGGTCTGTGTTCCCCCCAGCATTAAGTCCAATTATATGATCTTTGTTTGAAGAGAGGTGTGAGATTCATCTTCAGCAAACAATAGTCTTAGTGGCTGTAAATTGCAAATAATGATTCCTTCCTATTTTTTGAAGTGATTTGCACCGTCGACAGTTTATTGTGTGAAGACCTGAATGAGGCAGGCTTGGAGAGCAGAGTGTTTATTGGGTTGGGTTCCTGTTGGTGAAGTGGCGTGGAGTGTTTCAGGGCTCCCACTTTGCCCCTCCTCGGGGCTTGTAAATCCAGTCTCCATTTGATTCTTTTCTTTCTCTTTCAGGACAGTTATTCTGAGTGACAGCCCTTGCACGCGCTTCTGAGTGGTTATCATGGGCTTCATTGCCTTTCTGAAGACCCAGTTCATAGTTCACCTCCTCATTGGGTTCGTCTTTGTTGTGAGTGGACTGATCATTAACTTCATTCAACTATGCACGCTAGTCCTCTGGCCCATAAACAAGCAGTTTTATCGCCGAGTAAACTGTCGCCTTGCCTATTCGCTTTGGAGCCGTGAGTATGCTTGAAGGGGACGTGAGGGCTGGGGGTGGGGAGGGGCGTTTCTCTTTTTGTTAATTAAAGAAATTGTATATGTATACACACAGACACATGAGAGAGAGAGAAGTGCTAAGGTAGAGGTAGACTCAGAGCAGTTCATAGCAGCCATCTTTTCTGAAATACTGGGAAAATATACAAAAGTCAAGTGACTGATACATATTGTCACTGTCATTTAAAAGAAGGGGGAAGTAAAGCTCCTCCCCACCCCCAACCCTATCTCGACTGGTAGGAAATTGCTGATTCTGTCTCAATACTATCTTCATCCTGCATCAGAGCCTGTGCTAAGTGATGGGGAAGGGGGAATTCACAGAGACTGCTTCAGGTACGGAGCATACATGCGATATTGACCACTTACTTAGGAACTGTCGTGGTTTAACCTCAGCCGGCAACTGAGCGCCACACAGCCGCTCGCTCACTCTCCCCCCTGCCCCCAGTGGGATGGGGGAGAAAATCGGAAGAGTGAAAGTGAGAAAACTCATGGGTTGAGATAAAAACAGTTTATAATTGAAATAAAATAATAATAATTATAATAATAATAGAATATACAAAGCAAGTGATGCACAATGCAATTGCTCACCACCCACCGACCGATGCCCAGCCAGGCCCCAAGCAGCGCCCCCCCCGGCCAGCTTTCCCCCAGTTTATGTACTGAGCATGACGTCACATGGTATGGAATGTCCCTGGGGCCAGTTTGGGTCAGCTGTCCTGGCTGTGCCCCCTCCCGGCTTCTTGTGCACCTCCAGCCTTCTCAGTTGGCAGAGCATGGGAGGCTGGAAAGTCCTTGACTAGTGTAAGCACTGCTCAGCAACAACTAAAACATTGGTGTGTTATCAACATTGTTCTCATCCTAAATCCAAAACACAGCACTGTACCAGCTACTAGGAAGGAAATTAACTGTATCCCAGCCGAAACCAGAACAGGAACCCAAGTTGACTGTGTGGTCTGCAGAGAGATGTCTATCTTAAAGTATCTAGTGTAGATGCCTCTATAGCTGAACTGTGTGACAACTTCAGAGTCCTCTTACACCCTACAGTGTCCATCTGTGACGCCAGTGTCTCCTCCTGTGAGCAATTTGTCGCTCTTTTCTTCTTCTGCCTGTGGAACAGCTCTGCAGTGAATGCAGCTGCTTTGCTCTCCTCTTTCAGACCTTTGCAAAACTTGCTCCCCGTGGATGGCTTCTTTTTTTTTCCTCCTCATACAGCTTAACGGGGGATTAGATTTCTGAAATGAATGTTTAGAAGGCTCCTTAGTCCAAATGTCACCTCCTGTTTCAGCAGTGAATCATCTAATTTGTTTCCATTCTCCATCCCCTCCCAGTATGCACGGCCACTTACCTTAGTGCTCAGCTCAGCATCCAACTCCCACTTTGGGTAAATGAGTCACCTGAATGAGTACTTAAATTACAGTTGAGCCATACGCTGACAGGCACCCACATTTCTTAAATCATTGAGGTGAAGTACCATGACAAAAACTCTCCAAAGTATCTAGTTCGGTTTCTTTTTAGGCTTGTTGTCCTTCCTGTGCTTTTTGTCCTACCTATTGAGAATGTTGTCTGAGAAGCACAGGAGAGAGGAAATTAAATAGAGAGTGGCAAGTAAACTGTCAGGAGAAAAGGTATTGTAATAGAAGAACTTACAGGTAGAAACTTCAAAATTAGCTTGGTTGGAGGGGGTTTGGGGGTATATGGGATTTTTTTTTATTTGCTTGTAAGAATTTCTTAATGTGCTTTTAATAATCTAGAATCTGATCTCATCCTGAAAACTATTGTTGCACTAATAGTCTGGCTTTTCTGAGGATATGAGCTGCTTGTGCCTGTAAGGCTTATAAGGTTCAGACCCTTGATTTCTACAAGTTAGCATTGTGCATGGAGAAATCACCTTTTAAATGCTGTTACCTTATATCTTGTATACACTGGAAATAACCTACACTGTTGTTCAAAAAGGTTTGGAGAAGCTGAGTAGATAATTGGGTTGTACCTAGGATAACCCCTTGTGTATAGCCTATTATAAATTAAATGATTGAGAAATTAAACTATGAAAATTAACGTAAATGTTATATGGGATTGCAGAGTGCTGATGGCCTGTAATGGAAGAGCTGACAGAATATGCACTTCAATTGTGATTTATAACGAATTAAGTAAGCCGTGTAAATGCAGCGGTTCAAATGTTGCCATTCATAATGAAATTATGAAATTATGATTTCATTACGTGGAAGCCTTCTGGCAATGAACCTGTAGGTTGGTGTTCTGTTCCAGATGCTACGTTTTGCTCGCTTACTCCAAGCTGTTTAGTTTTAGGCTGAGGGTGTTTGTGCAAGAGCTATCTATAACAGAAGCTGCTCTGCCCATCCGGCAGATGATCGGTGTGCAGGGGTAGATACACAGGTGATCGGGTATCTGGCTATGTACTATAGCCCACTGAAAATCAGGCTGTGTTCTTACTGCATCTCTTCTCAAATACATAAAGCATGGCTTCAGAAGGGGAAGGAGATAGACTCTATCCAGTGTTCGTGGCAGACGTTTGGGGAAAAAATGTCTGTTGGGCTCTGGCCTCAACGTAAACCCTTTGCAGCACATGTGATTCATGACAGATAGTCTGTACTTCAAGCTCTCCTACATCAGCTCCTTTCAGATGACTCACGTCTTTGGAGAGCGCAGCGCACTTGGTTTAGTCTGGTTGCAAAAATAATCTCTCAAATGTTAGTACTTTAAACTGAGAGGTGCGCTGTGCCTCTTGTTTGCTTTGTTTCTGGGTGGCTTGCAAGGCCGTAAACCCGCCTGCTTTGGTGTGTGGGAACCCCGGCCGCAGGAGGGGGTTTGTTGTAGCAAGGTGTTGCTTGTCCTCTACAGGAAGCATCCCAAGCAGCGCAAGTGTTATCATCCCTTCGTTCAGAAGGATGGGCTTGCTGTAGCATCAGCAGGATCAGCGCCACGCAAAATAGCTGTAACCCACACACCAAAAAAAAGGAAATGAGCCCACTCCTGGTTATAATTACATCATTTATCAGTACACTTGTAAAGGACAATCTGTTTCCTCATATTAATTCTCTGGCTCATCAACCCTCCTCTCTCAGTATGAACTCTGGAAAATCTCTCAGCAAAGCTTGCTCCGCTATTTTAGAGTGAATGGTACAAGAAATGCTCTGTAGAAAATCATCCACACCTGCCTCTGCAGAATTTTTTTCTGATTTTTGAAGAAGAAACACACCCATTTTATTTTATTTTTGATAAGAAAATGCAGCGACTGTAGCAGGTACTGGAGATGTTCCTCCTTAGTACATAGACAGCAATGGAAAGGGAAAATCGCTCAGGGTACCACACTATGTTTGGCACCACTACTCCATTCTCCTGGCCACCTGCTTGAAGAGCACAGCTCTCAACTGAGGACACTCTTGCTGTCCTCTTTCCCCTTTTACTGAGCCAGGATAACCAGAGCAAGAAGGGTAAGTGATCACATCATTTGCAAAGGAGGCAAAGCTGGAAAGCAGTGATAGAAACCTCTAGTTGGTATAAACTATTATTCTGTCTTTCCTCTGCTGTATTTCCAGTTTACCAGGGTTACGCTCTCTTGATCGGCATGTTGCATAACTTTGTCATGCCTCCAAATGAGTGAGTCTTGAAAATGATACAGGGAAATAACCTGGCGGATAAGTGGTCACATGGGAAATAAAAGTGAAAAAACTAGTGCTAGAGAAGCTATGTATCTTCAGCAGACCAGGATTGGTTTTCCCTGTCATTCACCCAAATACTGTGTTTGCCTTCTCTCTAATGTGTTCCAAAATTGCACCCGCTCTTATTTAGCAGTATGGATAGATTACCCTGTCGTGATCCCACTGATCAGAAGCCCTTGTGCAGGAAGGCGCTGCTCCATTTTGCAAAACCAGGGCCTCTCGATGGAAAGCTAAAATACTGCGTGGCAGAACCTGGTGTAGAGAACTGAGGGGGCACCTTCCAGTTTTGACCCTGCAAGTTTGTCATAGTAATGTGGGAAGAGTTGGACTTTTTAACTGCCATATTTGTGCAACTGAATTTTGATTGCATCCATATCTCATTGAAATGAGAAAGTACCAGTGACTACAGCTTGCATGGAAGCAAATCTTCCTATTGGGAGAATGAACTATTCTCATACTTTTTATAGTTGTCCCATGATACAAGCAATGCCTTCCATCTGCCTGGTTGTACTGAAATGAGGGAAATAGGCTAACCATAGCAACTACATTCAGTGCATGCTGAATTTAAGTAGAAGGGGTTTTTTAAGATGAAAAAAGGGGAGGTGGAAAATAAGAAGAGTAGGTAACGAAGGGAGTGTCCAGGGTGGAGTAAGAGAGATGCTGGGATATTGAGAAGCTGGAGAAGACAGAGGAGAAAGGGCTCATTCTTTCTTCTGCAGTAAAAGAAAGACACAATTTACCATTCCTGGCTTTGCCCGGGTATTTTGATAAATTAGCTCGATTCTCTGGTGCTTCTGACTCTGTGTTGATGACCATAATACAGAACGATTAGAGTCCTGTGTTCTAATATTAAAATCTATTGCAGAAGATCTATGGCACTGTATCCCTTTAAAAGCCCTTTATTGGTCTGTTTACCTCCATAAAGCTTGTTTCATGTTGAGTAAAAGCATTAGGCTGCATCTATGCATAATTTGTATTCCACCTGGGAAAAACTGTACTCATTTAGTGGAGCAATCAACAACTCAACTGTCTGTTTTCAGGCACAAAGTTTTGGTTTTTTTTTCCAGTGATCATGAAAGTTCACAGTCATAATATAATGCCCAAATTTGCAGTGTTAAAAACTTGTTAAATTATCCATAATGCATATATCTAGTGCCCTAAATACTGCTTAAGGATGGTGATGTTGTTTGGTCTATACCTGCCTAAGCTCTCATTTCATCTCTACTGGGTTGGATTGAAAAGGTGACAGTGGTGTTGGGAGTCAGGAGAGACTAGGCACTGAATGGGGCTGGAGGTGCAATGCTAAATGCTTTCTGTAAGCGGCACCCCTAACTCCTCTCTCCATCTTCATTGTGTTTGTCAGAGTTGGTAATGCTGCTGGAATGGTGGTCAGGCACAGAGTGCACCTTGTTCTCAGACGAGGCCACGGTGAACACCTTTGGGAAAGAACACGTCATCATCATCTTGAATCACAACTTTGAAATTGACTTCTTGTGCGGCTGGACTATGACAGAGCGCTTCGGAGTGCTAGGGGTACGTGGGGCCATGAGCTTTCCCTTCATCTGGAGGACTATAGGTCTATTTAAAACCCATGCACATACAGTTTCTTTGCATTTGAGTTTCCAGATATAACTCCATCAACCCTTCGTCACCTTAACTTTAATGTCTTTGATCTCATTGTACAAATCAGCAAATGACATTTTTGGATTGTTACTTTTGTTTTTCTCCAAGAGTTCCAAAGTTCTTGCTAAGAGAGAGCTACTATATGTGCCCCTAATTGGCTGGACGTGGTACTTCCTTGAGATTGTTTTCTGCAAAAGGAAGTGGGAAGAAGACAGAGATACGGTTATTGAAGGATTAAAACGTTTGGCTGATTATCCTGAATATATGTGGGTAAGTGTCGAGTTCCTCCTCTAGTATCGACTGCTAGAAGCGGAATGGTGATGGAGATACTCATGTGGTACTGTAGCCTTATATATCAGGGGAGGGACTGCTCACTACTTCCTTCAAGCGTCATCAAGGAAAACCCGTGTTCTGTTTCAGGAGGTCTTTTGGGATATGGTGGTGAAGTGTTGCTCTGTTTGCCTGTTGGTAAGGGAAGTCATTTGGGAAACGGTTCAGAAGCTTGCATAGATGATTACAAGCTTGACGATAATTTATAAATCAGGCTTGTGTAATACTTGTTAATTTTGTCTGAACTTATTTTTACCTTTTTAAAAAAAAAAACAATAACAGCCCATATTTGACTCTAAATCTGTGTAACCTTAAGCTATGTTTTCTGACGTAGGCTAAAAAGACACCCAAACAAAAAAGTTTTTTCTGGAGAAGTGAGTGAATTGGGGGGGGGGGGACAGGATGCACAGACCATGGATTTTGATAGGAAGTTCTTGTTAGTATGTTCATTGATCTGTGAAATGACAGGTTTCCCTAAAAGTCTTTATGAGAACATATGGCAAGCTTACATCTGCTTTTGCAGTTACGCTTTTCCTTTTTATTCTGACATTATTTCAAGTCAAGGTTGAAACATCTATATTTCATTATGTGCAATGTTCTTAGATTTTACTGCAGCAACGCAGTGGTATAATAAACCTATTAACCTTCTTTTAGCTTTGAATGCAAACTTCTGATAAATTTACTGGTTTGCTTTTATAGCAGCGCATGTAATATACAGTTATTTGGCTCATAAAACATTTTAAGAGGCTTTTTGTGCATTTTAAGTGATTTTCCAATATTATCCAGTACAGCTTGTTAAAATGAATAGTGAAATAGTGAGCATTAACTAGGACATTGTGAATGCGTCATTCGTGATTTTCTATCATTACAAAGATACAAAAAATAAGAATCTGGAGAATGTATTTTAAACTACTTAATTGCTTGAATATATGGATATGAACTACATTTAATATATCCTCCTGATCAGTGTTGGAAAAAATAAGAAAAAAACCCTACCAATTAAAAAAATCTCAAGACTGTACTTCAGTTGCAAATCTATACATTTTAATGATTCTACGACTGAGAACCAAGGACTAGTCTCTAGGGGAAACAACTAGAAAATATAAATGCAAAACGTAGTTAGCATTGATTATTTAAATGAAGACTTCCTGCTTGGTAATTTAAATCATGATTAAAATTGACTTAAGTAAATCAATTGCCTAATTTTTGTGCGTTCTAAATGCCACAATTAGGGGTCTCTGCGCAACCTTCCTTCGTGAGGTCTTTCTCACACGTGCACTGCAGCGCAGTCTGTACCTCGCTCGCATACTTGGTCCAGAAGGATCACTGCGCCGTTGAGTAGAAGAGGGTGAGAATTTGGTATAGAAAGAGCTTGCATTGCAGACTGGGGTTGAGATTGCGGTGTTACACTCTGTACTTTGTGCTGTCCTCACCACTTGGTGGTGATGGTTGGTCAGATTTTCATAACGAACGTGCCTTCAAGGGCCAAATGAAGATTGCAGGACCAGCTCCCGTTCTCTCACTGCACTCTGGAAGGTCTAACTCTCGTGTCTATGGCTTTGCGGTTTTAACATTCGTTTAACTTACCTTTTGTGGTGCACAGTATGTGGATACACTAGAGAGAAAAAGTCAAGCAACCACAGCACTGACAAATAGCAGATGTATAGTGATGCATTCGACAAGTCTTTCTATTGAATTGCAACATTCCAGCGTTGCATGATACTGCTGTGAGAAAGTAGTAGCAGCCTGCTCTTCTCCCCGTCCCTTGCTTGCCAGGGATGCAGAGGTTTGTGTGTTCAAATGCAGCAATGTTTTCTATTGCTGGCGCAATGGGAATGATGTCCACCTTTCAAAAAGGCCAGGGATAAACAGAAATTCACCCTAGGGCCCTCAGAAGGGCTTGCTTTGTTTGCTCTTGGCTTTGCATTGCTTCTGGTCTCTCTCTCTCTCTCAACTAGAGCAGAGGCAATATGGAGGCTGGAGAAGGACAGATCGATGTTTTGTGCTGCCTGAAGTCAGTATGGGAGGATTTAAGTCTTTAATAGTTACTCAGGATACTACAGTCAGATTGGTGCCTTACGAGATGAACAAGGTAAAGCTTTTAGGGAAAGGCACCATTTTTTTATGAACACAACTGATACAAATGCAAAAAAAAAAAAGAAAAAAACCAGAAAAGCTTTCAGACAAACAAGTCTGTCTTCAGATGAGTAGTTCTGGTTGTACAGTACAAATTTTAAATGAGGCAGCTAGTGATTAATATGTTTTTTCCTCAAGTGGTCGTGTACTGATATTTGGATTGCTTTTTCTGATTTGTAGATTAGTCCATCACCAGCCAGCCAAAGCCTTCAGGGATTTTTCTTTTTTTAAGTAAATGTTTCAGGTATAACCATTTAGACTTTTTGTTGCCTTAAGTTTGGTACCAGTGTTGTTAAAATTAAATGTAATTGTAAATGAGTTGTGAGGTGGTGCTTATGCCTAATACTTGATCAAATGAGACAATTGACGTGTGTGCGCATGCATGGATGTATGCTTATCTTACACAAATTTTCAATATTCTGCTTGATTTCTTTTGATCTCAAGATGTCCTTGTTTTTGCCTTTTGTCTCGTCGTACTAGTTTCTCCTGTACTGTGAAGGAACTCGTTTTACAGAGACCAAGCATCGTATCAGCATGGAGGTAGCTGAATCCAAGGGGTTGCCTAAACTGAAATACCACCTGCTGCCCAGAACCAAAGGTTTCACCACTGCTGTCCAGTGTCTCAGGGGAACAGGTACTGGCAAGCTGCTACTTGTTCTTTGCATTAATTGTAATGTGTCGTTTAGTATACTCTGTGTAGCACAGTGTGGTATACTCTGTTGTTATATCTATTACATCCATTACAATTAGTGAGTTGGCAGTAATAAGCATTCAGCATGTCAGCTGTTAATTTGTGCCACATAACTCTCAGATACGTCTTAAAAAATAATAAACCTTTCATGTATGTCATTGTTGCTTAGTTCATTGAGTTGTCTTGTGTTTTGATAACACACATGCTACGTAGATGGGAATGTCAGGTGGCTGATACAGATAAATACAACATGTAAACACAAAGTAGTGAAGGACTCTGCTACCTGACATCATTAATGCAAGGCTTGCACAAGGCCCTGTTGCTGTCTAATGCAAGGATGCCGGCATGCTAGAATTGCTGATATAACAGCCATATTTTCTTTTTTGTAACAGTTTCAGCAGTGTACGATGTAACACTAAATTTCAGAGGAAACAAGAACCCGTCTTTGTTAGGAATTCTTTATGGAAAGAAATATGAAGCAGATATGTGTGTAAGGTGAGCATTCATGATGGAGGTGAGCCCTAAGATGCATGCTTTGGCATGCTGAAGTGTGTTCAGATTTTACAGGGTAATGTCCTTTGCTGTAGTCCCCTTCTCCTTGTCCTTCAGGCTTCTTTGCAGGCTACAAAGACCTCCCCGTTTCCCCCCTGCTTCAGTTCGCTTTCATGTGTGAGATCCCATGATATCACCCAGCAAGTCAGAAAGCACTGGGCAGACTTTTTAAGCCTGGGTATGACCACATTGTTGTTCCAGGGTTTCCCCAAGTTTTGTGCAGTTGAGGGCACTAGTCCACGTTTTTCCTTTCTCTGCTGGGAGCAGAAAACCAACTGTTCTGCCCCCTTCCCAGTCCCCTGCAAGCATATGCATGGTATAAATAGCCTGTCCAACATGAGTAGTCTCTTGTAGTAAATGGTGTAAAGCTCCTTACTGTGCCAGTTTCTCCCCTTCTCTCACATGGTTTGATGAGCAGATTGGAAGTTAAATAATGCTGAAATTCAGACATCGTATGAATGAGGTGGTACATTCCTCACATTGCTCATCACTTTTTTGCCTGAAAGAGTAACTGCTGACACCTGACTCCATGCGGCACGTACACATGTGCATGCACACACACACATGCTTTCTCTTTCTTGCTTTCTCCTTGTTGCCTTCTGCTTTAAAGGCTTCCTTGTGATGATAAAAACTACCAACCCTTTCCTGTTGAATTTCTTCTTTTCCCTTTTATGTTTGGACCTGACAAATGACCTCGTTGTTCTTTCCGCAGTTCTTTTGACAGTTCAATTCTGCTTCTCTGAGAACTTCACCCACACTTTGGAAAACATTGCTACATTCTGGTGATGAGGTTGATGTTTGGTTTATTAAAACAAACAAACAAACAAAGCCTTGCTACTTCCCCCCCACTTTTCCCCTCCAGCCATGGGTCTGTGCATTGCAGATGTGTGGCACTGGCTCTATACATTGTCCTTCTACAGGACAGGTGTGTCTTACCAGAGCCTCCAAGGGTGAAAGACTTTGTAGGGAATCACACTGATTATCCATTGTGTCAATGTATAGCAGCAACAGTTTTGTGGAAGAAATGCTATCCCAGGGGAGGCAGAGTGCTGCAGCCCTAATGGGGAAGGGAAGGACACGCGTTCCAGTTCTGTTCTCAGATACTGCAACTTCCACAACATTTTAGTCTTTCAGCTGGAAAGAAGGCTTCGGAGGTGATGGGGAGAGAGATGGGGTCACTCATTTGCAAGGGGTTTCATTTTGACTATTTGCACTTGCCAGACATATTCCTGATGAGGAAAGTGAGCAGACAACTTACCAGCTAGCAAAGCAGCTGGTCAGGCGGTTGCCACCTGTAATTCCATACTGATGGCAGATGCATGTAGCATGTCTGGCTAGATCTGGGGTGCATATGTATGGATGTACATCTCTATAATTATATATTGAAGAGCAGCTGCATTCAGTTAAATATCCTATGGCTTGCTAATGGAGATGCAAGTTAGTTTTATTTATTGGTGAGGTAGTGGGAGGAAAGAAGAGAAATATAGTTTTCAATAGTCATTAGAAGAGGTTTGGGCTCATAAAATTCTGTTGAGGATGATGTTGCCAGATAAAATTACTAATTGTACCCTATGTCGTGGTTTAACTTCAGTCGGCAACTGAGCACCACACAGCCGCTCGCTC